CTTGAATCTCCTTATCATGCTGGAATACTCACAAAAGTGTTTTTTGAGACATTTTCTTCATTTCTTAAAATGAGGATAACAGTACCTGCCTCACAGAGTTGTTGTGAGGATGAACTGAGATAATGTATGGAAATGCTTGGACTAGCATCTAGAATAGAAGTGCTCAGTAGTGAATGATGACCACCACCATCAACATCGTCACCATCCTCCTCCTCCTCACCATTACCACCGTCGTCATTTGGTCACTACCATGATTGTCATACTTATCACCATTATCCTCTACTACCACCATCATCATCCTCATCACCACCGTCCTCCCCACCATCATTGTCACCATCACCATCCTCCCACCAACATCATCATCCTTCCAACCATCATCGTCATCCTCCCCACCATCATCATTATCCTCACCATCATCAGCATCATCATCACCACCATCCTCATCTTCATCACCACCATCCTTACCATTATCATCATCATCCTCCTCACCACTGTCATCATCTTCACCACCATCATCATCATCCTCACCATTTTCACCACCCTCACTATCACTACCATAGCAGCTGCCATCTGTGTGTAGATGGTTCTGTGTTAGGAATGAGGTATACAGTAGTGCCTACCACAGAGAATACAGGGAATTCTCTAGCTCACCCATTTCTTTTAGTCTTTTGGGACCTTGCCATACTACTGCTTTTACTGGAAGAGAAAAATACCTTTACCATCAACTTCTCCTGCCGAATGAATAAAGGACTCACTGACCTTTCTGTCATTACCCTCCATGCTTCCTCTTTGACTTCTCTGAACCAAGTAGCTGTGATTACAGAACATAGTCTGTGTTTTCCCCACAGGTGTTCCACAGAGCATTATTCCAAAAGATATTAGATGCAGGTGAGGACAGCAAAAAAGGAGAAACGTGTTTTGGGAACACTGCATTCTTTATTCCATTTTTCTAGATTCATAGCGCATATTAGTATAGGAGGGACTCTGCGCGTGAGATGGCAGGTCTGAGAAATGTTGCCTGAAACGACTCTTTGTCAGTCTTTCTGGAATTGCTGGCCTGAAACTTAACTCTATAATCCACATTTCTTTATGAAAACATGTATGACTAGATTTATGGACATAAGCTAAATGACTAAAATGGTCTTGGACATGGGGAGGGGATGGTGCACACATAACTTGGTCCCACTATTACTAGGATAGAGATGACAGTCTTTGTTTTAGTTCTAATCTTGAAGAAAAACAAGCACTGTGATCCATGTGTTACCTGATTTCACGTTTGCTCAAGACTGCCAAGATTACAACAGTAACACTGGGACTGGGGAGCCACTGTGTGGTCTGGAGAGGGGCAGGCAGTTATAGAAGTTAAACTTGCTTTTGTTTTTGCTTTTGCCTTCTTTTTAAAAGAACTTTACACCACCTTCAGGACTACTTTGGAGAAATCATGGCTGGGGATGTTGAATAATCAGAGTTGGAAATCACTCCTCTATTCTCATTTATTGCTATAAGAATGTCAAAGTCCTTCTATGAAGGGTGACTTGGCAAGGTGTAGCAACAATCTTCAAAATGTCAGAGTTCCTCAAGGTGTAGCCCTGGGCTCTCTCCCTCATATACTTTCTTCCTAAGTGAGAGCATTCACACCTATGGCTTTATTTTTTTTATTTTTTTTTAAGATTTTATTTATTTATTTGACAGAGACACAGCGAGAGAGGGAACACAAGCAGGGGGAGTGGGAGAAGGAGAAGCAGGCTTCCCGCTGAGCAGGGAGCCCGATGCAGGGCTCGATCCCAGGAACCTGGGATCATGACCTGAGCCGAAGGCAGACGCTTAACGACTGAGCCACCCAGGCGCCCCCTCACACCTATGGCTTTAATCATCATCCACCCACCATCCACCCATCCATTCATCTGTCCATCCATCCATCCACCCACCACCCATCCACCCATCCATCCTTTCCTCCACCCACCATCTACCCACCCATCCCCCCATCTACCCATACATCCCCCCCATCTATCCATCCACCATCCATCCATCCATTCATCCGTCCATCCATTCATCCACCCATCCATCCCTTCCTCCACCCACCATCCACCCACCCATCCATCCACCCATCCATCCCTCCCATAGTTATTTATTAAGCACCCACTATGTGGCACACGCTTTTCTGGGTTCTGGAGATACACCACAGTAATGTCTATTTCCAGACTAGACATACAGGGTGACAGCTGCATCCTTGGCACCTCATCTTGAATATCTCACAGGCACTTCCTTCAAACCTGGTCTTCATGCAGTGTTCCTTATTCTGGATTTTAGTGAAGGAAGCATTGTCTGTCATTTTACACAAGCCAGAAACCTGGAGGTCTGTAGACCCCTTTCTCTCTGTCACTTCCCCTCTAACTACATCCAATTCCACTACCGAAGCCTGTTGATTTACCTCTTAAATGCCTGAGAAACTTCTCTCTTTCTCTGTCCCACTTCTGCCCTGGAGCTACCATCAATCTCTTGTGACAGCCTCCTAACTGGTTCTCCGGTGCTCTGTGATGGGCATTTTCCACTCACAGCCAAGAGGATTATCTCCAAAAGCAAACCTGTCCCATCAGTTCCCTACTTAAAGTCTTTCATTGGCTTCTCACTGTTCTTAGGTTAAAGCAGAGTTTTCATGCTCCCCTCCCACCACCATGCAATTCTTTTTGCCCAGAATTCTCTCCCCTCCCTTCTTCTCCCCTTCCCTCTTTGGCAAATAACTCCTATGCATCATAACTCCTATGCATCCTGCAGATGCCCTGCCCTCCCTGACCAGGTCAGAGTTCTGCATGTCTTCTTTGTAGCACTTGTCACCTTTAAAGTTTTATGTGTGAGTGATTTTTCAATTTGTTCCCACCCTCCCCTCCCCAGACCACAAGGTCTTTGAGGACAGGAGTAGTGCCTGTTTTCCCCTCAATATTTTAGTATGGCAAATTTCAAATGTACATAAAGCTAGAGGAATTTTCCAGCTAACACCCATACACTCTCGACCAGGATTCCACCTGTTTCTGGCCCCACTACATCTCTGCCCCACAGAGCGCTGAGGTCTTCTTTTTAATTTTTTATTTTTCGACAGACAGAGAGAGAGAGAGAGAAAACGCAAGCAGGGGGAGTGGGAGATGCAGGCTTCCCGTTGAGCAGGGAGCCGGATGTGGGACTCGATCCCAGGACCCTGGGATCATGACCTGAGCTGAAGGCAGATGCTTAACGACTGAGCCACCCAGGCGCCCAGTGTGCTGATGTCTAGTAGGCATGCAATAAGTCTTTGTTGAATGGAAGTGGTTCAATGTCCTTCCACCTCTAAGATGACAAATGTAAGGTGAGTAGTTATATGTTCGATAGCGTTCACTTCAGCATTATCTGTAAGTATGGAAAACTGGAAACAACTTAAATGTCCATGATAAAAAATTTTTTTAAAAAATGTATAGGTAGTGCCTACTCTATACCAGATACAACTCTAAGTACTTTACATATACCAATACATTTTAATCCTCACAACAACCTCAAGGGGTACATACTCCTTATTATCCTCATTTTACACATAAGGAAACTGAGGCAAGAGAGAGTAAGAATCATAGAGCTATTTCCATGGGAAAATGCTGTGAGAGTTACACCTGAACTATAACAGTAGTGACAACATCAAATGCTGACAAAGGATGTGGAGCAACAGGAACTCCCGTGCATTGCCGGTGGGAATGCAAAATGGTGCAGGCCCTTTGGAAGATAGTTTGGTGATTTCTTTAGAAACTAAGCCTACTCTTACTACATGCTCTAGCAATCATACTCCCTGGTATTTATCCAAAGGAGTTGAAAACCTTTACCCACACAAACCTGCATGCGGGTGGTGACAGTAGCTTTACTCCTAATTGCCAAAACCTGGAAGCAACAAGAATGTCCCTCACTAGGTGGATGGATAAATAAACCATCCAGACAATTATTCAGGGGTCTGTCCAGACAATTATTCAGTGCTAAAAAGAACTGAGCTATCAAGTCACGAAAAGACATGGAGGGAACATAAGTGCATATTACAAAGTGAGAGCAGCCAATCTGAAAGGTTGTATGATTCCAACAGCATAACATTCGGGAAAAGGCAGAACCATGGAGGCAGTAAAAAGATCAGTAGTTGCCAGGAGCTGGAGATTGGGGGAGGGATGAGTAGATAGAGAGCAGAGGATTTTTAGGGCAATGAGACTCTCCTGTGTGATATGATAGTGGTAGATACGTGCCATGATACCTTTGTTCAAACCCACAGAATGTGCAATGCTGAGAGTGAGCCCAATTGCGAAGCATGGTCTCTGGGTGTAATGATGTGTCAGTGTAGGTTCACCAACTGTAACAAATGTACCACTGCAGTGGGGGATGCTGATAACGGGGGGGACTGGGCATGTGGGGGGCAAGGGGTACATGGGAAGTCCCTGTACTTTCCTCTCCGTTTTGCTGTGAGCTTAAAACTGCTCTAAAAAAAGTCTATTAAAAATTATATATGTAGGGGCACCTGGGTGGCTCAGTTGGTTAAGCGACTGCCTTTGGCTCAGGTCATGATCCTGGAGTCCCAGGATCGAGTCCCGCATTGGGCTCCCTGCTCGGCGGGGAGTCTGCTTCTCCCGCTGAACCTCTTCCCTCTCGTGCTCTCTCTCTCTCATTCTCTCTCTCAAATAAATAAATAAAATCTTTAAAAAAAAATTATATATGTATATATATATATTGGTAGTTGCTTCTGAGCAACTACTTAGCATAATTTTGATTTAATCTTCCTTTTGCTTGTGTTACGTCTCATTTTTCTTCAGTGATCATGTCTCACTTTTTTTTTTTTTTTTTACCCCCAAGGAAAAATCACTTCTCTAAGAAAGTCTGCAGAAGGGAATACTTGGCCACATACCTAAGAAGCCTTCCTCAACAGATGTCCCACCATGATAAGATTCAACGCGACATTTTAGAGTCATGGGACTATGTGAGAGGAAAAAAAAAGTGCCATTAACCTGTGTCCGAGCTGGATAACTGGATCCCGACGTCCTGGAGGAGATGCTCCGTTTCCTCCAGCCAGGACAGCGACAGGCGCAGGATGTCCAGCACCACCTTCTGGAGCCCTGAAACAGGTGGGCTCACCTGAAGGGTCTGAAGCATGTCCACCTCCTTCTTCAGGTCCTTGCTACAGCAGGACATTTTCATGCAAGCCTGGAAAGACACGAGGTCATGAGGTGCCCAGACCCTGTGGCCAGAGATGGCACCTAAGAGCAAGAGCAGCGCCCTCGCCTTTGCTCTGAGGCAGATGATGCCCACATGCCAGACGCACTGGGATGGCTCCGTTGTATTTACTTTCCTTTGGGGGCAGCTTTGTTGTTGTTTTTTTTTTTTTGCACTCTAATTTGGACTTTGGATGGTCAAAGAGACCCCACTTTTAGGTATCTGCAGTTCCAAAGCCAAATTGCCAAGGATACCTGGCAGCAATGGGAACCAAGTTTGGCGACTCCTGTTCATCAAAATTCCTGTTGAGATCAATGCATCAGTTGGTCAGAAAGTGGGGTTTCCTGATTTCAAAGAGTGCTGACAAGCCAGCATTTGCATGGGCTCCCCGAATAGTTGCTGCTTATTTCCAGAGAAAGCAGAAGCAGCTGCCTGCTCTGGAAGGCTCCATTTCAGTGTGGGAGCCGCGGGGGCTCAGGCAGACTTCTGGGCCTGTCTCCTCCAGAGTCAAAAGCAAAAGAGGCACAAAGAAAAAGACCCCAAAACAATAGCCTTTCCACTGCTGGGCCAAGAAAAAAAAATAATGCAAATAAAGAGCCTGGATATTTCTTTGGTTTCTCTGGAAGTAACAGGGGACTTATTTTTTGCTGGGGTCTGGGGTCTCCCCAAATCAATACCAGGAGTGTGTCAGGCCTCTTTTCCTTGGCCACACCAAATTCACCCGGAGGCATTTTTTTGAGGCTCTTTGTTTTCTGCTCCCAAACAGATTTCTCCGACAAGAGAAAAGGACAAAAGAGAGCAGAGCATTTCTGCCCGACCTGCTCCACGAACGCTGATTGCCCAAACCAGCAGCACAAGAAAGAGACGTAGGGGGCATTTGTAAAAAGCCGAGAGAGGCCACCTGGCAGCTGTCTAAAGATGCCTTCAGCTTCTCGACGTTCTCTGTGATTGCCTCCTGTTTGGAATTGCTGAGCTGAGTCTCCTTCTGCAGCGTCCATTTTTTCTGCTGAAAGTTGATGTTGTCCTCAGTGACCTGGGTAATCTTCTCTATTAGCTGGTGAGAAAAAGGAAAGAGAGATTTACAGGACAGGGTGGCTCTGGGAGGGGAGCTGGGAGCATAATTCAAACTCCTGGGTCCGCAGCTGAGCAGGGAGGCCCTGATGTGTCTTGGTGATGGCTCTGGAGAAGGACATCGGCTCTTGTCCCTAGGACATGTCTCCCAGGATCTGAGATGGCTAAGAGCCAAAGGTCTGTAATGTTGTCATGAGTTTGTTCTAGATTCTCCTGCATAGTAGCAGTGATTTGTAACACGGAGCCTGATGCTGTGGGCTCATGAAGAGCAGATCAGTGCCCACAGCCGACGAGAGAGGCCTGTGGTGTGTCTTCTCACATTTGCATGGACGCAGAGGGTTGGAAAGAAAATCGGAAGAATGACCAGGCAATCGTTATGGCCAGAAGTCCACCCCCATTACCATCTCTTCCCTTCAGAAGGAAGAAGTGAGAATGCATCGTCTACAGAGAGGCAGCCCCCCCTTTTTTTAAGGTGCTAACGAAGGGTAAATGTGTGTGTCTGGAGACCAGAAATAGGCCTGAGTGGTTTAATTTGATTTTCACAGAAACATTTCAAGGGAGTTTAACTGGCTTTTACTTTAAAAGCCAGGAAATCCCATAAAATCAAAACAAATCTTTATGGTGTAGCAACAGTGTGAAAAATATGTACCACCAACAAAACCCAGAAGCATATGCTCCCAGTGTCTGGAGTCCCAGGTCTCTGGAGGAGGAAGTGACAACGTGAGACAAACCTGTTGATCGGTGATGGGCTTGTCCAGGAACGGCTTCACCCGTCCGTAGGTGGCCTTGATGACTTGACTTCTGAAATGCTCCAACTATAGCACAAAGGGAAGGCGACAGAGTCAGCAGGGCCGGCAGGGGGCCCCCGCAAGCCTGGGTGTGGCACTTGTGGGGTGCGGGGGGCGCCCAGGAGTGAGGAGGGTCCGCGCACTGCTAATGGTCATCGTGGGTCATGAAAATCTTCACCTCTCACTGGAAGGGGCCGTGCCGACAGAAGAGAACAGAACAGCGGGTTTTAATTACTTTTTACGTCTGCCTGCCCAACCCAACCGACCCACGTGGTCAGGGCACACACGTCTGGTGACCTCGGAAGAGCCACTTGCTGCCAATTATCCAGTGGGATGTCTGGGGCCGGGAGCGCTCTGAGATAATTGTTAAGTTGGCACCAGACTGTGAAATAAATATTGAGGCTGTCAGCTGAAGTAAATGGTGTCATCAGCCCGGATGCCCGGCGAGAAGGACAACGTGCTCCCTTCTGCCATCCTGGGCCTCCAACCATACGTGTCCTGAACACGGTGTCTATTGTCTTTGTCTCTCCAGAGCCTGGTACGATGCCCAGCAGAGTGGGCGCTCAATACATATTCATAGGATGCTTGTACGCAGAGACATCTGTCACAAACCCGGGTCCTCTACTCCGGTTCAACCGGCTTTTATCGAGTGCCGCCTGGGCGCTGGTGTTTTCAGATTACGGCTGATGAAACGGCACAGTTAAATTAAATCAGGGCACACAGAAGTTCAAGTTCAAGGTGTCCAGTTCCAGGAGAAGTGAGAGGCAAAGAAGCCCCACTTTCTCTGAGAATTTACCAACATGGCCTGGGTTTTTGGTTCACTGGCAAAATGTGGTCATCGACTCTAAAACAGAGCGCTGAAAGTTAAAAAAATAAACAAAAGAAAAAAGAAAACAAACACACACTCACAAACACACAAAGAAAACAAAAATAATAAATAAATAAATAAATACAACAGAGCCCTGAAGGGACCATAAATGCCACTGAATCAACTTAAAAATCAAAAGGTCCTAATATGCAGGGTTTACTATATACTGTGGAGTTCTGGGAACCCAACAGTGGAATAATGAGTCTCCCAAGGATGCCCCTGCAATCAGGCAGCCCCAAGCTGACTGGGGGGTGCCTCGAGGCATTCCGGGCCATCCTTTAGATCCACGGCCAAGGGGAGGGTCCTAACTAGCCCAGGAAGAGGAAGAGGTTATGTAGAGAGGCCCCAGTGAATGATGGCTCTCTATGACCACCAGAGGCACCCTACAGCACTGCTCGGGGACAGGCCCTGCTCATTCTAGGGCTCAGTCCTGGAGCCACTTGCCTGGGGAGGCGCAGAATCTCAGACAGGGAGCAGGGCCATGGAAATACGGGGGGTGGGATGGGAAGGTGGCAGAGACGGGGCTCATCCTCTCTTGAGTCTAGACCTGGAGGAATCTCTGTCTCTGAGGGTCCTCCCAAAGACTTCTCCCCAGAGCCATAACCTGGACCATGGTACTTGGGCAAGTGACACAGAGCATGCCTTCAAATCAGGTGTGTGTTGGGGGCTGCAGAGCACGGGAAGGGTGAGGGGCTACTCCAGATGCACAAAGGGAGGCCCAGATTGGCAGGCTTTCTGCCCTTGCTCTGCGCTGCTCTGCGCTGGCCCCCCGCAGAGATGACACTGGGGGTGACATTTGTTGAAGGGGCTTTAAGATCTGCCCAAGGGTCAGCATCATTATTTAACTTGTGTGTGCCTCTCACAAAGCCAGGTCTCGCGGCCCCGGGAAGGCTCCGAAGGGCTCTGGGAGCTGGGCCTCGTGGGATAGAGGGCTCCTTTAAGGCTTGTGGTTCTTAACTTTTCTTGGTGGCTCACAGACCCTTCTGAGAATCCAATGGGCGACATGGTGGACCCTCCTTCCCAGAAAAACAAAAGCACAAACACATATATACACATAAAACGTTCTTGGGTCCCCTGGAGCTGTCTGTGGTTGCCAGGAGAGAGCCCCTTGGGGAGAAGTGCAAGGTGGGCTGCCCTTGGAGCGCCATATTCTGGAGGGTCAGTGCCCCCATTCTGGCTTCCCGTTTGCTGTCCTTTAGCCTTTGGTGAAGTCTTGTTTGCATGTTCTGGCCCTCACATCTGTACCACACATAAGCGGAAGGGTCCACTGGGCCACCTGGAGCCAGAGTATTAGAGGAATGGTATCCCCTAGACGAGCCTGTCAGAGCCTGCTCACCACGCTGCCTAGGGACTTCCCCATCAAGCGAGTGCTCTGACATTCTGGGGTCTTACTTTGTTTCCTTAAGGACACTGACTGTGACATCTGCTGGTGAACACAGGAAGCGAGATCATGCTAAATGTCAAGACAAAAAATGTGAGGAAGAAAGTACTAAGAGCACCATGGAATCAAGAGGCTCAAACTCTTCCCCAGAGGGAGCCGCCCGGCGGGTTAATTGGGGCAGGCATGGAGCCGGGATGGGCTGCCTGGGTCTCAGACAGGGAACTGCTGGTGTGGGCAGCTTCCCAGCAGGAGAAGCCTGTTCGAGGTGTTGCCTGGGATGCAGAAGCCACACTCGGCTTCTCCTCCGGGATAAAAGGGAGAATTCAACCATGGCCAATGTCCTCCTCACTCATCCCCACCAGCGGCTTGGGTGCAGAAAACCCATGGGGAACGTGGGCCACTAAAAGGGGCTCTGGAGCTGGCCTACCTGACCTACTGCCCTTTCCAAATTGACTTTAATGAGGTTCTCTCTGTTCCCCATTTCTTGTAGCTGGAGCAATTTCCTTCTGGAATCCTCCTGAAGCTTCTTTTCAACCTGAAATGACGAAAGCATGTGCTCGCCACTAATGTGATCATAATGCACTCCGGGGAACTTCCTCTAGGTCTAATGGCCATGGGGGAGTCCCAGAGGGGCAGGGGCGGTTGCAGCCCAGGTGGCAGGGGTCACAGGCCAGTGCAGGGGGGAGGCAGGCTCCCCAGAGCTAACCCCCAGGGGAGAGGGCCGAACTCTGCGCCCCCCGGGGCTCAGGCTCCGATCCCCTCTAGGTCCCCAGCAAGCCGTGTGACCTCAGAACAGTGTCCTCATCTGTCAAATGAGGATGATGATCCTAGTACGCCTCATAGGGTTATTGCGGGGATTCCAAATGCTTAGAGTAGTGCCAGTACCTCCTGAGGGCTCTAGGCGTGCATCAGGTGGTGTAATCTGTAGAGGCGGACAGGAATGTCCAGCAGGCGGCGTCATTCTAATGCCGCTAGGAACTGGCCCACGGCCAGTACTTGGTAGATGTTGTTATTAGGCTTATTATAGTAACGATTTGTCATTGCCACTTTTATTTATTTATTTATTTTTATTTTTATTTTTTTTATTTTAAAGATTTTATTTATTTATTTTGAGAGAGAGAATGAGAGAGAGAGCACATGAGAGGAGGGAGGGTTAGAGGGAGAAGCAGACTCCCCGCTGAGCTGGGAGCCCGATGCGGGACTTGATCCCGGGACTCCAGGATCATGACCCGAGCCGAAGGCAGTTGCCTAACCAACTGAGCCACCCAGGCGCCCTGTCATTGCCACTTTTAGCACACTCACGGGTGGAAACCGCTCTGGGGGCTTGCTAAGCAATGTCTTTTAAGAATCGCAGATTGCAAAAGAAGGCGTTTACAGCAGGGGAAACTTGCCCATTTATTCCCCCTTGCTTGGTCAATAGTCAAGGCGAGGTGAGCTTGCAGGTGCTCGAGGCTGCCCTCTGCTGGTTGTTATGGGACCCTGCAGCTGAGCCGTTCTTTTCTGAACAGTGACATTTTGGAAGCACCTGTTGAGCCAAGGCTCTGGCACCACTGGGAAATGAAGCAAACTCCCCTAAATGAACGTGAGGATTTTGTGCTGAAACAACTTCACGAGCTGTTTCTTAGGGGGCTGAAGGGGGGCGGGGAATCACAGAAGTAATAAAAGACCCAGAAGAGCCCTGTAGAGGTTTCTTCCGCATGCCTCTAAGTAGCGACGGTACCTTGGCAGAGACCTAACCTCTCTGGGCCTTAGCTTCCTCCGCGTACATCCCCCTAAACATGTCTAAACATGCTCTGACTTCTATTTCAGCAGACTTTCTCATACACCGGGAAAGCCAAGTCCAGCCCGGACTCTGCTCTTAGCTACGCTCCCCCATCTAATGAACAGCCCCTCATTCCCCACCCCAACCCTGGGGGTCTTCCTGCGCTGCCACCCCACTCTGTCTCTCAGGCTCGGTGATCTCCAAGCCTGTGGCTCCAACCCCTCTCACATCCAGTCCACGTCTCCGTCCCTACCCTGGCGAGCCACGCCACCGGACACTGGGAAGCTCTGGCCTGTGGTAAAGTGGCCTCCTCCTTCTCGTTTACTTCCTTCCAGCACATTCTTCATGGTGCTGTGCAAGTTACCAGGCTGTGGGGCAGCTCAGTCTGACAGAGCTTTCTGCAGTGATAGAAATGCTCCATGTCTGTGCTGAATCGTAGCCACGTCTGGCTCTCAAGCACTTGAAATGTGGCTGGTGTGACTGAGGAACTCAATTTTGAATTTTACCTAATCTTGATTAATTTCAGTGTGAAGAGTCGCGTGTGGCTAGTGGCTATGCCCCAGTGACTGGAGCCAGACAAGCCTGGCTTCCAGTCTTGGCTTCGCCTCCTACTGACAGTGTGGCCATGGGCTGGTTACCTTACTAGCGACTAACAGCCTTGATTCCCTCATCTGAAAAATGGAGAGGATAAATGTTTGAGAAAGAGTAAATGTTTGGCATAATGCCTAGTACATGGGAAATTTATTATAGCTATTGTTTTCACCATTATTATTATTTTTACAGGATTTTATTTATTTATTTGATTGAAAGAGAGAGAGAGAGCGCTCACAAGCAGGGGGTCAGGGTAGAGGGAGAGGGAGAAGCAGACTCCCCGCTGAGCAGGGAGCCCAACGCAGGGCTCGATCCCAGGACCCTGGGATCATGACCTGAGCCGAAGGCAGAAGTTTAACTGACCAAGCCACCCAGGCGCCCTTCACCATTATTATTGATCACAATGTAATCATACCAGCTTCCTGTTCAAAAGCCTTCAGCAGCTCCCCACCGCCTGTGTGGTAGGTCACTCAAGTGCCACACTAATGCAAAACACCCAGCCAAGGATTCAAGAAGCCCATGTGAATGCCAAACAAGGTAAATAAAAATGAATCCACATCTAAATAAATCATAATAAAGCTGCTAAAAATGAAGAGAAAAGAAAATCTTAAAAGCGGCCAGGGAAAACAGATTACACAAAGGCACAAGAGTTAGGCTTCTAAATGACTTCTAAGTAGAAACAACAGGACCCGAGAAACAAGGGAATGATGGTCCTGATGCTACCGGTAATGTGCCAGAAGAATGTCATCGCCAATGCAGAATTCGATACTCAAAATGTGTTTTAAGAATGAAGGTTAAATATTCATTTCCAAAGATGCATGTGCAAAAATCTGAGAGAATTTATCATCATCACAGCCATGCTGAAGGAAAACACAAATAAAATAAGATAAAAAATAAAATAAAATAAAAGGAATAATCTGGAAAATGACAACAGTGGCATACAAATCTGGAGGGGGATGAGCGAAGTTAGTGTTCTACAGTCATTGCCTTACCAAGGAGAAGTGAATAATTATCAACTAATGTTGGATCTTGGTAAGTCAAGAATGCAGATTATAGCCATTAGGCTGACCATTAAAAGAATAGTTAAAGAGTGAGAAATTCAATTACTATTGGATTTTCGTAAGTCAAGGCTGAATGCTATTGTCTTGCTATTACTAAAAGAGTAGTAAAAGAGGAAAGAATTTCCAAGCTAATAGAAAAATGGAATGACAGAAAACCACTAACTCAAAAGAGGGCAAGAAAGGAAGAAAAGGGAGCATCACACAGACTGTACAGCTGGTACTGAGCAGGAAGGTAGATTTAAACCCCAATAAACCAGCGACCACTTTATATATAAATGGACTAAAAAACAAAGATTGTCAAAGTGGATTTTATAAAGATGATGTGCTATTTAGAAGAGATGTGCCTAAAACTTAAAACAAAGATTGACAGAAAAAGTAGGAACAAGATACGCTGTGAAAATTCTAACCAAAAGAAAAACCAGTGTGGCCACCGGTTTTATATATATATATAAAGATTTTATTTATTTATTTATTTATTTATTTATTTATTTGAGACAGAGAGAGAGAGAGAAGCAGAGGGAGATGGAGAGGGACAAGCAGACTCTGCCCTGAGTGCAGAGCCTGACGTAGGGCTTGATCCCAGGACCCTGAGATCATGACCTGAGCCAAAACCAAGAGTTGAACACCAACTGAGCCACCCAGGTGCCCCACTGCCAGAGTTATATTAATGACAAAGTAGACTTTAAGGGGAAAACACTACTAGAGATGAAGAGGGATGTTTTATGATGATCAAAGGGTTTTTTTTTTTTCCAGTGAGAAGTGTTAAAATTCTAAATTTATAGGCAACTAGTAACACAGCCTCAAAATATACAAAGCAAAAGTTGGCAATACTAAAAGTAACAATACACAAATGCACAATTATGAAATTTTAAAAAATGTATCTCTTCAATGACTGATAGAACACATAGCCAAAAACATCAATAAGGGCATTTAAGTTTGAACAACGTCATCGGCAAACTTGATTTAATGGATCAATTCTCTTCTGGATAAATTTTACCAATTAAGAGTTGAAGTCAGCCTAGGCTAGCAGTTACACACAAGAACACTGGAGTCAGATAGACCTGGGTTCAGGTTCTGAATAGTACAGCTACTTTATCTGCGTGAACTTTATCCCTGGGAGCTTCGGTTTCTCAACCGTCAAGTGGGGTTAATACCAGTATTGACCACACGGAGTCGTTGTGAGATTCATGGAGATGTTGCGTGCAGAGAGCCTGGCCCAGAGCGGTCACTGGACCACACTGTCCTTGCCTCACCTTGCTCTTTTCTAGCAGCGTTTTAGAGATCATGTTCTGTTCAGTACAACTCTTCTTCAGGTCCTCCCTGAGCTTCTTCATTTCTTTCTCCATGTCTTGGATTTGCTGAAAGAGTTTCAACAACAGGAAATCAACTTCCCTCACGGGAAGTGGGAGTTGCCCTCTAGGCTGAAAATTCTGAATCTCTGTAGCTCATTTCATTGGGTTCATTAGGGCAGAAACCTAGTCTGGTGTTAGCTTAATTGCTTCCCTTGGGGGAAAATTCTACACCCGTGGGGCAAAGTAGATGTTTCCTCAACTGATGTATGGGAAATTGGGTAAAGGGAAATGATTAGTTTCTTTTGAAAATCAGCATGGACCCTGGATTAAACAGTACAAGATATCTATCAACTCATTAGAAGCTCTTCCCCTGGGGTATATTCTTGAGATCAAGCTAAATAAGGGCTGCTTGGATGAACAATGGACACAGTTTGGAAGGACAGAACAATGAAAATTTTCTTTTCTCCCATTTCGAGGCAGAGAATAGCAATGTTTCTGGCACAGAGAACAGGCGTGTCTCCTTGTGGCAAAGGCACTGTACTTCCCAGCATATGGAAACTCACGCCTGCTGTTGGGCAAGAGGATTCAGCTGCTGCAGGGAATGAACATTTTCATTTGAGTGCTCATATTTTTGTCGTTGTTTATTTCCAAAGTCATCGTCTATCTAAGGCAAATGATACCTTTTCCTTTTGTTTTGTTTTTATGAATTGGTGTAACGTTGCTTATTTCCGCAAAAATACTTCAAGAAGAATTTTGTGTTAATAACCGTATCCATGCCTCTGATAAACTCTGACAGGGGAACATGACAGTGTGGGCACCATAGGTCCAGGGGCCGGGGCCGTGTGTCCCACACCCAGGCCCAGGGGGAACGTGCCCACTGCCCGGAGAATGCTGGGAGAGTGTGTTTTCTATGGTATTTTCAGCCGTCTCTTCCTTGAGGCTAGAGGCAGCATTTCAAAGAATTAGGAGGCTAGGTTAATGGACAATCATTAAAGCCCCACAGCTTGTGCCATCTAATGGTCCAAGGAACCCCTCCCCGACCCCCCATAAAACGCTGAAGGTCAAAGTCTAGCCTTTCTGGGGACACTTAGCAGTGAGGAGGCTCAACTCACAATTTTGCAGAGTTTTAACTCTTTCCCTTGGGCTTCCTGGTGCTCCTTGTGAGCATCTTCCTTCTTTAACTCTTCTTTCAGCATGGAGCACTATGGAGAGACAGGACAGCAAGACCACATGGGGTTATCTGTGGGTCCCTAGTCCCCGTATTTGCCCCTAAGAGCATTTCCTATTGTTTCATCCAATCGCTTCCCCAAATTCACAGAGGTGAGGCCATTTGTGTCTGAGGGATGCCCCGGGGCTTGCAGCCGTTCCTAGTCACCCCTCTCGTTAGTTCTGGGGGTAACATATGTAAATTCTTCCTCAGCGAGCGCCTGGGTGGCTCAGTTGGTTAAGCCTCTGCCTTCGGCTCAGGTCATGATCCCAGGGTCCTGGGATTGAGCCCCACATCGGGCTCCCTGCTCTTCGGGGAACCTGCTTCTCCCTCTCCCTCTGCCTGCAGCTCCCCCTGCTTGTACTCTCTCTCTCTGTCAAATAAATAAATAAAATCTTTAAAAAAAATTTCTTCTTCAAGAACCAGCGATCTACACCATGGGACAGACACAGCTTTGCAGAGTCTGGATCCTTAGGGTGGAGGGATGTGTGTGTTTTCCTCTGTGACCAGCCAAGAGAGCCTGCAGGAATACCAGGAGGGTCTCGCTAGTGAACTTGGATGGCTCTCAGTGCTTTCTGCAAGTTACATCTCAAAACACAGCCGCCTGGCCGTGGAAATGTAAGTGAAACAGCCCTCCCGGAGGGCAGATTGGCCACACGCATTAAGAACATAAAGATGTGCCTTCTTTTGACCCAGAAATTTCCACTTTAGTATTGTCTCTTAAGGATGATGATTAGAGAAATCAGCAAATCTGTAGGTTCAGGGATGTTCTTCACAGTATTGTTAGCCAACAGGAAAAAAAAAAAAGAAACAACCGTGTCCAACAACAGACCGTTTTATTACATTGTGTACGTCCAGAAAAATATTATATAGCTTTTAGGACTGATGATATGAGCTTTTATTTATTAATATGGGAAAATAGTAAGTATTTAAAATTTAAAAAATGTGTATAGTATATATGTTAAAATATTTATCTATTTATTGTATATAGAAACAAGATTGGAAGAATATACATTAAAATATTAATGTGGATTTCTAGGGTAGCATTTTCTTTCTTATCTCTCTAGTTTTGCTTCTCAGTATCATCTACTTTTATTTTCCTAAAATTCACACGCATGACAAAGGGAATTAGAAAAACAAAAGATAGGCCTCCCACATGCTCCCCAGAGCCAAACCCTTGGGGGCAGGACCCCTATGTGCTAATGCATGGCACAGGCTAGTAGAGGAGGAATACCTCATTCCGAGGTCAATGAGGAAGAGGAAATGGGGAGAAAAAGAATCCAAATGTACTTTAAGAAGTAGAACAGTCAAAACGGGCTGTTTTTCCACATCTCTTCCACTTAGCATCAGCTCTGCAACCCTCCCCCCTCCCCAACATGCACGCACACACTCATGCATCCCACATAAAGCAGTAATACTGTGCATCTAGGGAGTCAATTGCCTGGGAGAAATGAATGTATGGACGGGGCTCGGCCAGGCAGCTGACCAGGTGCAGAGGCGGAAGAGCACAACTGAAATCAGCCTCTCACTTCTCAGAAAAATGGTTTTGTTATTCCCATTTCACAGATGTGGAAACAGAGGCCAAATAAGTTACAAGAAAAGAAAGCTCTGGGATTGGATCCCGGTCTGTCCAACCCCAAAGCTCATGCTCTGCCTTTTCTCAGTTCCAAACTGAGTATCGTATCAAGCACCCGACGTTAGTTCTTGTGCCTTTTCTTTGGAACTTCGAGCTCTATCCAGCCCCCTCCCGCCACATCCCTGCAGACTGAGCTACCTGATTAGGCAGCCTCTGGAATCTCTGAGCTGCCGGCCGAGATGACAGCTATTGGGCTTTACCTGGACTCATTGAAACACACAAAGCACATGCATCCTGAGAAATCTTCCTCTACAGGATCGGGATTCTAAAGTCAGGATTCAAGGCACCATTTGCAGAGTCAAAGTTACATTTAAAAAGCTCTTTACCTTGCAGAGAACCTGGCCCCTGCCTTTCGTCTTTGCAGGTGGGGCTTTGGTGTTTTGGGCCACCCAGCGGCTGTCCTCCCGGCGGACACCGGCCCCTGGGCACCAGTCCATCTCACAGTGGTGGGAGAGACGGGAGTGACATTTAAAGCTGGGGCCTAGGGTACGTGAGATGAGTCATGGGACTCTGTTCTGCTTTTTGGGGACTGCTATGAGCATGATGATGGCGCCCCAAAACTCACTCTGGAGCTGAGGGCTTCAAGCTGGTGATCCTTTTCTTTGTTCTCACTTTTTAGTTGGTTCACCTCCTGTTTGAGTTGTTGAATCTCCTCATCCCTTGTTAACACTTCTTTTTGCAATGATGACACCATCCCTGTAAAAAAAAAATAAATAAATAAAGACTCGCAGAGGTCAAAGGGGCAGGATGGATGACTGTCACCACAGCTGTTGGCCAACTTGTGGGGGACCCCCTTCCAAGCCTGGGTTGCCCTGGTCCTCGCCTGCACCTGAGGAGCTTGTGTCCAGGCTCCTGGAGCTGGGACAGATGACACTGAAATGCGTGGAACAGTGTTTGTTTAAGACCTCAGTGAGAACAAGAAGTCAGCGAGTGTTGCTGGGAGAAGAAAAGCCTTTGGGGGGCCCCTGTGGGCTCAGGTTTGGCAGGAGAGGCCACGCCATGGGCCTGGGGAACAAAGGCCAGTGTGGGGAAGCACCAGGAATTTTTCACCAGGGGCCATAAAAAGTCTTATGGCAGAAGGAGGCTGTGAGCAGGTTGGCTGGATTCACACTCACCTGAGTTTGGAACCCGTTTCTACCACTTAGTAGTGTGGTGTTCTTGGACAAGTTATTTTCCCTATAAGTATCTTTCACTGTATGTACCCTGTGGAATTATTATAAGGGTTAAAGACATATAAAGAATATAGGAGAGTGGCTGACCCATCGTGTTTGTTACAGGGTACCTATTATTTTTTGTGGTAGCTGGCTTGTAAAATGGCCTCAGTGATACCAATCTCCCGGAATTCCTGCCCTGGCACAGCCCCTTCCCACCACGAGTAGGGCTGACGTGTGTAACCAGTGTGATTTTGTGGAAAAGATGTACCATGACTTCCTAGGTGGGTCATAAAAGATATTGTGGCTTTCCTTTCGCTCTCTGTTGGATCACTCACTCAGCGGCGGAAGCCAACCACCATGTTGTGAGGATGCTCAAGCCGCCAGGGGAGGGGCCCAAATTGTTCAGAATGGAGGCGTCCAGCTAACAGCTGCGTGGACGAGCCATTCTGGAAGCAGATCCTCCAGCTCCTGATGTGGCTTTAGATGAGGTGACAGTTGCCCCAGCCAATGTGCTGACTGTCCCTCATGGGAGACCCTGAGAACCAAGTCATGCTCATATTCCTGAGCTCCAGAAGCTGGATGACATAATAAATAGCGGTTGTTGTTTTACCCACGAACTTTTGGGATAACCGGTTAGGTAGCAGGAGATCACTAATACATTACTGGATTCTCAGATTGAGGACACGTGGGAAGAAGGACACGGAAATGCTGTGGGATTGGATTATCTCATGTGGTTCTTTTCTTGGAAGAACATTATGCCCAATTTCATTGATAGCCGTCAATCAAAGAAAGTATGTGAGATGCAGGACAATGTGATCCAGAATTTCATTTTAACAATGAGCTCTGTCACAGGACACGATTAAGTTACTTTGAAACAGGTTGATCCCTTTGGGACTTGCCTTCTAGCTTTGTGAGGCGGGACTGAGCAACACACTATTTATTTATTTATTTATTTATTTATATTCATGTGGATTTTTATTTTATTTTTAATTTTTTTTATTATGTTCATTTAGCCAGCATATAGTACACCATAAGTTTTTGTTGCAGTGTTCAACGATTCATTAGTTGTGTGTAACACCCAGTGGGCATCCCAACACGTGCCCCTGGAGCAACCTTTAGTCTAGTGGCATTTGGGCCTCATGACTGAGCCAACACCTTTTTGACTCTACCAGATACCCTGTGTATTATGAGGCCGCTCCGTTCTGGAGGCTGGGAAAGTCAACCATTCTTGGCCTGTGTGAGCTTCGAGATGGTCCCCTCTGCTCCTGCTGGGTTTTCTTTCCCTGCCCACCTACATGTGCTGCTCAACACTCAGCTGAAGGCTGGTGGGGGACCCTCTCGAGATCACCTCTCTGTGCGCCTCTCCTCTCTGGCACGCTGCCCAGCGCCCCAGAGCTGTGTTGGCCTTTCCAATGCCATCCCCTCAACGTGGGGGCCCACTGGTTTGTTTCCTCTCTCCCGGATCATGGTCATGTGAAAATAATTATTGCAGATATATTTTTTCTTTTTTTGGTTGTTTCGGGCAGGAGAGCAAACCCAGTTCCTGTCATTCCATCTGCCCCTGTACGTCTCTCCCACCTCTCTCCTTGTGGAAGCAGGCGCTGTGATGGCCTCTTTCAGCCTGGTCCCTGAGTGGCCATGATGAGCAAAGCCCCTGCTAACCCATGATGGATACCAGGTGGAGGCAAGACATGAGCCCGTCTGTTATAAGCCACTGAGCCTCAGGGTCCGTAGCTGCAGCGTAACCCAGCCCTGTGTTTCTCGAGCTTGAATGTGCATACGAAACCCCAGGGACTTCAGCAAAGTCAGATGCCCGTTCAGGAGGTTCTGGGCTGGGGCCTGAAACTCTGTGGTTCTCACCAGGACCCAGGGCAGGCTGATGCCGCTGGTCTGGGGACCACACCGTGAGTGGGTCCAGCCCACCCCAAGTGTTACCCTAACGCACGTCTGTCCAATCCCTGAGTGAAGAAGGTGGTATCCGAGACAGGCCTGGAGCACGGATGAGATCTGACGGGCCGGTGTGGGCAAGGAAGACAAGGGCCCGGGGTGTCTGTGTCTGGAGCCGCACCCGGCCCGCAGGACGGGCTCAGCAAATATCTGAGGACATTGTAAATTAGGGAAGAGCATGAACAGGCCTGGCAGGTGGTGGGGGTAAGGGTGGGAAGTTGCAGAGTGAGGCGGATGAAAAGCCAGTGGTCAGGCTGTCCTGGTGCATGGCACCCGGATTCGTAAAGAGATAGAGGGCGATTCACCTGTGGCTCTGAGCTATGCTCGGCTTTCACAGCTATGGACACGTTTCCTGCTGTGTAGCCAGTACTGTGAGAGCAATATGCCCCTTCCAGACTCACTGCCTGCTCCTCATCACCTGCTTCACTCCCTCCCCTCTTTCTCTGTTAATGGCCCATCCTTCTCAGGCCTGTAATTTCTCTCTAAAAACCCCAGTGGCTCCCCATCACCCTTAGAATAAAACCCAGTCTCCTCTCTGTGACCTACCCCCTGCAACCCCCTCTGACCTTGCCGGTCCCCCACTCCCACGTTCACCCCACTCCCACGTTCACCCCACTCCAGCCACACCCGCCTTCAGCTCTTCCCACGCGGCCAGCTGGCCCCCGCCTCAGGCCCTTTGCACTTGTGATCCCTCTGCCTGAAACACTGTTCCCTCTGGCTTCCTCACTGCCCTTCCCTTTCACCTCTTCAAAGACCTGTCCCTTCCAGCCCACTAAGCTATTCTCCCTTCACTTCCGCCCCTGAAGCACTTCGCTCCCACACTGCCCACTTGTCTCTGAAACGGGCTTGTTTATTTACCTGTTTACTTTTAGTGTCTGTCACCCACTTGCACACGTGAACCCTAGGAGTACAGAAACATTGTGCTCAGGGCTGTCTCTCCCCGGCACCTAGAGCACGGCCGGACACATAGTAGGTGCTCAGTAAACATGTGGGATGAATGAAAGGATCCAGGGTAAGAAGCAGCTGGCCTCCGGATGATGTGCTCGCCCTCCCCCCAAGTCTGTAGTGTGCAACCTCCTCTGCTGTCCAATTAGGCAATGTTTCCACCGGGGCCCAAGTGCACCAGGGCCCTAACGTGGTGACCCTGCTCTGTCCACATTCTAGCTTGCACTGAAGGCAAGCTGGCTTCTGGAACCACCCAAGCCACACGGTGCCCTGTGTTCTCCCTGGTGAGCCTGGCACTCACTAGACATAGATAAGTGATAACCTTCACTCAAATCGTTATCAGGCCCTGTCCTAGGAACCGGATGGCAAAAACCCTCTCTTGAGGGCAGGCCGCAACTCACAGACGCAGGTCACTCAGAAGATCTCCGAGGCCGCACCCCGGATCAGTGAGCAGCGGTGCGGTGGTTGATTGGTGATGTCTGCTGTGGCCTGGGAAGGAGGAGGAGGGGAGCGGTTCTCAGGCCCACGTCAGAGAGAGCTCACCTGAGGTGACGGCATTGTCCCTCCTCAAGTTCTCGCCCTCGTTCTTCAGGGATGTGATCTCTGAGTTCCTCTCAGACAGGGTCTGGCACAGCACCTGGCTGTAGCCTTTCTGTAGGGCACTGATCTGTGGGAGGAGGCAACACACCGTCAGAGGGGGCCGGCCCAGGCGTGCTTGTCCACGGCTGGACAAGAGATTTGGATTGATCTTTGGTGGGGTGTTGGGGAAACCGAGTTTTTAGTTTTAACTAGTGGGAGGGACAGGAGAGGGCCTGTTCCTTCAGTGACCACCACGTCATATGGAATGAAAACGTGAGCCTTAGCTCTGTGTCCACAAAATGGCTCAGGTGCAGCTGCCTGCGGACAGCTGATCCCTAACGTACCTTCCTACCACCTTTGGACTCTCGGCCAGAAGGAGACCAGCTGTTGGTTCCGGATCATCCAGCACCGACCGGATGCAGGGCAGAGCTCATGAGAGGGAAGCATGTTATAAAATTAACTTCCTCGAGGGAGAACAACAGTGGCTTATATCTCAGAACACTCCAGAGCTCACAAAGCCCTTTCCCAGATGCTACCTCCATAGCTCCCCACCGCATCGCAGGAGGCTAAGGTTCCCATTAACGCTCCCATGTTGCAAGCGAGCCGACCGAGTCTCACGGCCGTGAGGATCACGCGGCCGGCAGAGGTGGGGTCCCGATTCGGCTAGTCTCCAGGTGCCCGGTTCCCGCTCTTCCCACCTTGCCGGGTGGCTCTAGGCACAGGAGTACGGGCTGCAGGCTGTAAAGCACAGCGTGGACTTGGGAGCCCGACTGTGGCCTTCAGATTCTGTTGCTGCCACGTACAGGCTGATGAACACACCGGGAGGACACCGGATTCTGTCTCACTGTTTCATTAAGTGGGGTGATGGCAGTCCCAATCGGATAGGAACGTGGGAAGTATTTTAATAAGTTCGTGTATGTACAGGCACCCAGATGGTGCCTGGCCCACGGCATACAGATGGCAGCTCAGACTGTCCTCTGACCTCACTACCCAGGTGTCACTACCCAGGTGTGTGTTAGCGGCAGCTCCCTGAGTCAACCCAGCAGCTGCCTGTCAAGCCTCTTACCCTGCTGGAGGTGTGGCTTAAAGAACGAAGGCAGGTGGGGCGCGCTCAGGTAATGCGGGTGCGGGCGCAGAGGCCTTTGCCAGCAGAGGGCGCTCACGGTCCTTGTTCTTGGTGTCTGTCCCTGAAAATGTCCCTTGTCATCCTTACTCTGGGAGAATTAACAGAAAGAACAAGGTTTCACACGTTCCCTGGCTCATTTCACGCACCATCATTGTTTAGATTCTATGACAGCTGGGGCAGGTACACTTACTTTTTCCCTGGGGTATCTGAGACATTGGGAAGGGGGCATCTGGGAGAAGGGGGTGGGGACACAGATGACTCTGTCCCCCACCCTCTCCAAGGCTATACTTTTGCATGTTTGTGCTTTTGAAACTTTGAGTGAAAACGTTTCTTTCACCTCTTACTGTTCTCGGCGGGGGACATGCAACTTTCCCATAAAAGGTACTTGGGATAATTTTTAAGAGTGTTTCTAACTCTTCTCAGCTTCGTGGTTTATTTGCATGACACCAGAGGCACAGGGCAAAGAGACAAGCTTCCAGAAGGGATGGGAAGACATATGCCCGCCTGCCCAAAGATGCCAGTGTTTCTGCTTCTGACAGATAGAAGATAATTCAATCTAGGCACCAGGGTTTTAGGATTTCAGATTACGAGGAAACTCCAAACAGTCTTCAAACCTGTTTCCTTCCCCACCCAAATAAATATCCATGCTGTCTCTAATGGGCACGTATCCCAAGAAGTTGCATGTCTGCTATCCTGGGTAATAAGATGGGCACCGAATCTTAAGAAAGCTGATAGTGTTAGGAGGATGGCTTCGAGAAAATAATTCGGCTGTTAATTAGCACAGGTGTTCAAGAACAGGCAGGGGCAAGCACTTCCCAGTGATACTGTAGCAGATGGAAGACCTTTGAGAGCCCTTCATGATGCACACACTTTCAGGGGGACCTGATGATTATAAAGTAATCAGAACAATAAATCAACCAGCCACGTGGCTTATACTTCTGGCTGAATGTTCTGCAGGCGGTAGAATATTTAAAAAACTACAATGTGTGCGGATAGAACTTGATTTGGGTTCAGACCAACGGCAGGTTCCAGTTCAGATATGCCTTGTTACAAAATACTCTCTTTCAGTTACAAGTGAAGATCCAGGGGTGGGGGTGGTGACAGTATGATGAATCAGTGTATTTCTAGATACTTTCTTTGTGAACATTTTCCCCCCAGATATCACTAGCCACTTTAAACAAGACTCGAACTGTGACCTATGGATGCTCAAAGATACGTGAGGATTACACGTTACATGTCAAATATATTTGACTAAAGAAGATTATGTGGGAATTATTCACCCTTGTCCGCGGACCTGGACAAGACACGCCACTTATACTCAGGAAAGCTCTGAGATGGGAGAATAGCCGGAAGAGATATTACCTTGTCCAATGGCAAAATTGGGTTCAGATCAAGAACAAGATGCCCGTCAAGGAGTCAGCTTCCTGTCAAGGTAGCTGTCAAGTAGTAATTCCTATAGGATCTACTACTTTCATTGTTTTTCCCAAAACACGTCCGACAGAGAGTCATTTGTTCATTTGAATATGAGAGCATATATTTGTTTACTTATTAATTCTGTCTCCCTCATTGGAACATAAAGCAGAGAAGGCAAAAATCATACCTGCCCTGTTCTCTGCTGAATTCCCAGAGCCCAGAAGAGAGCATGGCACAAGATGGGCACCCAATAAATCTTACTTGAATGAATGAATGAACAAATGAATGGACACGGTCCTATCAGTGTTTTAGAAAGTAGCTGGGCCCACTCTTTGCTCTCACGGAACTTATGGTCTCCTGGTAGAATCTCCTAGGTTCACCAAGCACAACCTGAGTCCTTTCCTGGGGCACCATTTCTCGGATCGAGACCACGCACCTTGAGTTGCTTAGAGGAGGGGAAAGGCAGTGAACAGGGAAGCAGAGAACAGAGGCCCCAAGCATAGGGAGTCTACAGGTTTAAGCAACAGTATACACTGAGGCCACAATTCATCAGTGGCCAATTTGTTATTGTTGTTGTTTTAAATCAACTTTGTTGACATGTAATTTATGTACAAGGTCAATAGCCAATTTTAAAGTAGCTGAAGAAAATTTTTTGTGGATCTAGTTAGTCTCAAGGATAATGTAGAAATTCTGCATGGAGAATTTTTGAGGAAGTTCCCTACAAGTGAGCCAGCAACTGCCTTCGGGATTGGGTTTGGAAAACAGGGGATTCCTTCTCCCCCTCTCCAGCTGACTACCTACAGCTCTTTCTGGCTGGGGCTGGGGTGGGGGTGAGAGACAGTCACTGAAGCGATGGAGCTGGGTAGGTGGGGTGAAAGCATAGGGTCTGCAAGGAGGCAGACCTGCATTCAACTTGCACCGCCCCCTCTAACTTGCTGTGTGAACTGAACAAGTTCCTGGGCGTCCCCAAGCCTGCCTCAGTCTCCTCATCTGTAGAATGGTACATGTCAGAGGACCGTGTGGTTTAAGTGAGCCAATGCATCTACAGCACTTACACCAAAGCTTGCTCCCTGTAGGTGCTTAACAAAAGTGAACGTGGTTCTCCTGGGCTAGGAGCCTGCCACGCCCCCAGTTCCTGGGATGTGTGCTCATACCCACAGCACTGCGCTGACCATCCCTTTTCTTTCCATCTGGGTGACTCCCCTCCATGCTTCCCTGGCTCTCCCCGACAGCTGTCGCCCTGTGTCCTGACTCTAAGGCCTCCATCAATGTGTCTCCGAGTCCTACCTACCTGGTTTTTCAAGCTCTGGATCTCTCTGCGTTTGGCATCGATGTCTTCATCCAGATCCTGGAACCGACCCTGCCTGGACGAGGCAGACTCCGAAAGCCTCTGACTCAGGCTGGCCACTTCATCCTGCAGCTTCGCTATCACGGCGTCTTTGTATTTGGATTCAAGTTCAAAATCCGAGAGACGGCTGATTTCTTTCCCCAGCAGCAGAATGATTTCATCCTGGGTGGAGGCCAGATGGGGAGTTTAGTAGGTGTGGGTCCGGGGTGCAAGGTTGAGCCCATTTTTAAAAATGTAGGGAAAACGGGGTGTGATTCTTTTGGGAGGGTGAGGACAGGTGGGGAGGGGAAAAAGCGTAATTTCAAGGTTATCTCCGTCACTTGGAAAACCTCACAGAGACAAGAGTTTGGCGAAAATGATATACTTGTATATAGACTCCTGTAATAGGTGTTTATACTTCACAGAAAATTTCCTTTCCCGTGAAATTATACTTTCATGTTGAGAACAACCACCCCACGTGGGAACTTTTGTTGCTAAGGAGTTTATTTATAATATTTTTTTAAAGATTTTATTTATTTGAGAGAGAGAATGAGAGAGAGAGAGCACATCAGAAGGGATAGGGTCAGAGGGAGAAGCAGACTCCCTGCCGAGCAGGGAGCCCGATGCGGTACTCGATCCCGGGACTCCAGGACCATGACCTGAGCCGAAGGCAGTCGCCTAACCAACGGAGCCACCCAGGCGCACTATTTATAATATTTTTGTTTATAATATTCAGCCTAGCCCAGTGGGGACCCGGGAAAGGTAGTTAGCAAAACGACATTCTATTTGACCACACCCTGCGTATAATGAGGACTATTCTTTAACTTAAAAAACTCAATACATTCTGAAATATTTCTTTTCCCTTTCCTCCCTTCTGGTACTTCCTGCCTCTTTGTGTTATTCACGTAAAAATTTGCTCCAGGTAACCGAGTCTGTAAGTAAATGAGATAAGAGTGGTGATTTATGCACTACTGGGTATTTACCACAAAGATACAAATGTAGGGATCCAAAGGGGTAC